CCTGTCACCACCGTCATCATTGCCCACATTTTTTGGGAGCCAATTGATGTGAAGGAAACCCCCCCTCCTTTGCAATCAACACTTAAAATTTCAAAACTATAATATTGTCTGCAGTTGTTAGGGCAACCAAATGTAATAGTGCGCTATTGTAGTGGTTGGACCTGACAAGAAGAAAGCAAATTGATAACACTCAATAGAACAATGACAGAGACAGACATGACGTAGAAATTGTCTATTTTAATTATACTTCTTGTTTTTTTTTTAAGCTTTCTGTTGAATAGGCATGGATTTATAATTAGAAAACTGAGGGGAAGGCTCCTCAGGGAAAGGCACTGGGTGATGTATCCTCCCCTGTTGGTGAAGAAAAATCAAACGAGAAAGCCCTGAGAGAGAGAGAGCTGACTTTGAACAGCCGTCATCCCACTTCGCCTCCAGAACCCCGAGATCAACAATGGCAACGATTAGGTCAAGCCAATCATCATCCATGAAACACAGCTCCTGTGCCCATGTTTTTGAAGTCAGCCACTGACCCCTTTTATTGTCTCTTCCTCTGGGAGTGACAATTCAATCAGAGGATTCACTGGTCTCCATGTTCACCAGATCCACAAAGCTCCTTATGGCAGCACAACTAAGAGGAGCCAAAAGTCCATGAAATCCTTTCCTAAAGGATTCATGATGGATTTAGCTTCTAAATATTCTCTGCAAGCGTGAAGCATCAATATAGGAAGGGAGTAAATGCTGACAGCCATTAGCACAAGGAAAAATTTTTTATGACACCAGAACAAGTTTTACATAAAATGAATTATGACTGTCCCAGTTTATCGCAAACGCACAGAAAATAGCAAAACCAAGTGTCTCAAGACTGCCTTGACATTTAGACGTCCTTTTAAGTTTGATGCACAAATTAAGAGATTATGCTTCACTTTGCATTTGTTTCATCTTTCCACCTCAACTGCTGAAGGAGTAGCGTCGTCCAAAGAGAAAAAGGCTTGCCTAATTATTGCATGACAAAAGGTGCTAAATTACTTTTATCTAGGCCTTTCTTTTGTCATTCATGAAGACCAGCTGCTTTCTCTGATTCATGAGTTACTGGCATCAGCTGTCCGTTCCTGTGAGCCTAGCAGCTGAATGGATAAGCTCTCGTCTCCTCCTAGATTCTGGCTATTCCAATCTAAGGCCACCTTTCTTCCCTGTTTCCCAATAATCCCTGAAGTCCTAGTGATTACATCTCCCTGACCAAGCAGAGCAAGGGAGAGAGAAGCAATGTGTGCCACTGTTTTTATATATCTAGATGACAAGAGTTTAATATATGACCTCATCTCCTTCTTAAGATATTAAACCCTCTATGTGTAAGACCCACAATACTGTGTCAAATCAAAGCAAGCCTGCTTGCTGCTCCACAATATGCCGAATTTCTGCTGCTTTTATTTCAATTCAGAGACTGGGATCTGAAACGAGGGCTTTTCCTCCACAGCTTTCTGCAATCCTTGGTATTATTTAAGAAGGCAGAGTGCATTTCAATCCTGTCTTTTGTTTGTTGGGTAAAGCTGATCTAATTCCCTTTCTATCGAGACATAATCCACGGTAATACGGCACCAATTTCTTTAGATGAATATGCAGGGTCTTCTTCCTGCAGGCTTAGTAAATAAAACTGTGCCAACATTAATCAAAGTGATAATTAATTGCATTTTGGAGATTATATCTCTTGGCCCCCAGTCACTGTGTAGAATCTCTATATTAGATACATTCATATTGTATTCAAAAATCTTCACTTGTAAAGGGCTAACTAGAGATTTTGTCCCTTAAAGCTGCAGCTATTGTTGTAATAAAATGTAGCGGCTAACCTTCTCTTGAAACGTGCAATGGGATACTACGTTTAATTAAACCCTTCTCCTGGCAAGCCAGTTAGTCAAACAGTGAACATTTCTCACTGTTTGACTAGAATCCCTAAATATATATAACCTATTAACACCTATTGGATTTCTACACATTTTGTCATGTTACAACCACAAATCTCTTATATTTAAGTGGGATTTTAATACATAGATTGACACATATTACCCCATAGTTTTATGAAATTTGTGATTTTCCAAAATTTCTCTTCATATAAAAAATTCTGTCTATTTAATGTAAACACTAGACACAACCTCCTTTGCTTGCAATGACAGCAGTGCCATCTGTCATGACATGAACTCACCAGTTTATCTCTCCCTGCTGAAGAAAAGCCTCTCCCCAGCATGATGCTGCCAGTACAATGTTTTACCAGAAGGGATGATTCAGCCGGCATGGAGTGCAGTGTAGGCAAAGATTGTTTTCGTCTGGTTCAGAAAGTTCACTTTTTGTGTCAGTTGTACAGAGAACAACCAATTATTCCACCCATTTGCTGAATCTCACATGGCTTGCACCCCCCCAGATAAGCTGCGGGCATTTTCACAGTTTCTCTGGTTAATGCTCTTCTTGCTCATCGTACCGGTTCAGGAACGGGCCATGTCCCTTTCTATTTTTTGGATGACAGATTGAACAGTGCAGCATTAGTTCTTCCAAGCTTTGTGCTGTTTAACCCAAACCTTAAATTTTGAAAATAAAAATGAGCATTACAAATGTTCTGTTTTCACAGGTGCATTTATACTAAAATTAAATTACAAACAAGGGTACTCCAAAGTCTGAAGGTAATGTGTTGCAATAGTTTTAAGTAGGGTTCAGACTAAAGCTGGCTAATTACAAATGCATGCTAGGCTTTTGAGATTTTACATACCATTTTTGTTTCACTTCAGTTATGTACTAGTGTCACAGAAATATTATACACCAAATTTTCTAGTTATGTGACAAAATGTGGAAGATATTAAGGTATAATAATACTTTTGACACTGTATGAAACATTGTACATACATGAAGAAAAATACATAAAGTATCCCTTTTACTTAAATGTCCACAACTGGACTGCTTTTTCATAATTACAGTTTAAAACAAATTGCATTTTACATGTAATATTACAGTTTTATTTTATAAGTGACTTGTGTTTCTGAAGTGTGTGCAGTTGACCTCTTGATCAGGTCACCCTTGTAAAAGAGACCTCGGTGTCAATGGGTTTTTAGCTGGTATAATAAAGGTTGAAGACAAAAATTTTCCTTTAGATGCTTTAGATCAACTAAGCACATGTCGTGACAAGGCATAAACCCACGTGCAAGATATTAAAGATAGACTGATATATAAGAATGAATGAAACACAACAACTCCCAAAGGACCCAGAGGAAGATGCGGCATGTCTTGGCACTGTGTTTGCTTGTGCTTTTGTCGTCTTGGGAACATACTCATTCTTTCTGTTCCTCACCAGAACATGCAACACGTGTCTGGGTTGCATGTTCCTGTTGCTTTATCTCAGTATGCACAGAGGCCGGGAGAGTCGTTCGGCAAACCACCACCTCATTGCTTTCATACCCTCAGAGAACATGCAGGCAGCTGTGCGCGTGTTAACAGCTGGTAAATGTGTAATTATATCATTCTGAGACAAGCAGCTAAGCCTGTGTCTTTTTCTGCCGCACGCATCTTCATCTCAAAGTAACCTGCTTGATACACTGCCTTGCGCATGCTCAGGCATTAATAATTATTGCACACTTGCATACAATTTATGCACAGATGTCACTGCCAAAGCGATAAAGTCCTAATTACGCCCGATAACTCACACCAATGGAAGAACCTGGGCTGAATGTTAATAATTTAGTTTTGCTGCATTATTTGTTTTTGGCTGCGATCAGCTGCATGGCAGTCACAGTCTCACTGTGATTTACAAACGCTCATTCAGCCTATAATTCTGCTCTGTTTCTCCATTAAAGAAAATCTGTCACAGAAGTGTGTAAATAATAATCCCAGAGAGGAGTCACGCCACAAACAATTCTGAAGTGAAGGACAAGCGGAGGTTTAGCGGATTGCAGCTGGAAGTGTGAAGCCAAATATTCACAGTACAATAAAGGATTTACACTTTTTCACAGAGTAACACCCTTAATAAATTCATATATCTATTTTTCAAAGCTCTGAAGTACCAGCAGGCTTTCGTGCTTGTTTGTTTGTTTGTCTGACGAGTCTTTCCAATCACCTTGAAAACAGCTGAATTATATTTTTAGAGTTATATAAAGTACCAAAAAAAAACAACATAGAAAACACCGAGCTTTCACATCTAAGTAAGATGGTATTTATTATAAATACTAAATGCTACACTATAAGCAGAAGGTATGTATCAGTCACGATGCTTCCCTCGACCCCAAAGTCTCTCTCCTCACTCAAAACCCTATTTAAAATCTTTGTCAAGATTTTAAGGCCAGCATTTGCAGAAAACCTATGAGTTCAATAATACAGACCACAAGTTATTTTTCAAAAATGAATGACCAAGAATAAATTCAAGTAAACTACTGCATGGAAAGCTGTTTAAGGTAACGTTTTAAGAATAAACGGAATAGCCTTGTTTGGGAAGAAGGTGTTAATGGAGGGCAGTTTCTAGGGGAGAGAATTACTCCCTTTGGTGTTGCTTTGTAAAGCTGCAATGTTTTTTTTTTTTTGCACAAATAACATAACTTGAAGGAAATCGGATAGCACAGAATGTGTAATTTTAATTTAAATGAGAGCAATGGTCATATGCCCAACGAGAATTATTCCATAAACTTTTTGATGTCTACAGAATGTGTGTCGCTTCTCTGCAACTTACCAAAGGGATTTTTTAAAAACCAGTATTAGTTAGTGTGTTAAAGTTTGGCACCATTTCTAAAATTCTGATCCTGTGCGTTACAGAAAATCTATAAAAAAAATATTTGTGAACCCACTTCTTGTTTCTAAAAAAACCCCTGGAGTCATTCGTATAAAATAAATAAATTACTGAAAGCCCAAAATTAGACACTGACGTTCACGAAGAGTAACGAGAAGTCAAATTCTGACTGAAACGGTGTAATGGCATAATTACTCAGGACTTATTGGCATTCGTGTGGAATGGATGGAATGAATTGACTTACAGACATGATCAGTTTCGTCGGAGCCGTCGGGGCAGTCGGGCTCACCGTCACAGAGCCAGGCCTCGGGAATGCAGATCTGCTGGTCATGACAGTGAAACTCCCCTACGTCGCACAAGATGGGCTCTGGATGGGATGAGGAGAGGGGTGGGGAGGAATAGAAAAGATGCGGCATGAGGTGATGATGCTGGGCTGAAACATCAGGCTTTACCGAATAAAAACATGGTTTAGACGTCCACCTGGGTGAGAGTGAAGGAGAAAAGACATTTCTTGAACTGGAATCCAATGGACAAAATGTTATGAAGTGGTTCTTGTGACAACAAAAAAACTTGAACGCGAGTGAAACAGATTACAAAAAAAAAAAAAAACCCTGGATAGTGCCGTTATTTATTGGTTGTAAATATTTAAAGGCTGACAGAAGAACACAGAACCCCCGTGTTTGTTTAGAGAGAGAGAGAAAAAAAGCTGATATTAACATTTTTGACAGCCACTCTCCTCCAACAAAGACACAATGTCCGATGTGACTCTGAAACTATTACAAAGCGTTGTGGCAAGTTTCTTTCTTATCTCCTTCTCTTCCGTGGCGTTGTGCTTTTATTTGATGGTGGAACAGGCGGTGTTCAGCGAAAGCCCAGTCAACTAAAAAGTCATCGTAGCCTTTCAATATAGAAAGCATCCATCAAAGCCCTGACATGTTTCCTGCCGGTAGCTGTCACAGACTCGGTTCGATCGCACTGCTGAATAACAAAAAGCTTTTGCAAAAGATTTGCCACTACAATGTCACCTGCCTCTACCGCTTTTCAGTGCCCAGCAAAAACGGTAATTTGTTTCTAAGCTTAACCTGCAGACAATCAGACTCAGCTCACAAAGTCCCTCCTCCTACTCACTCTTGCCATCTCCATCTATTTTTTTTCTTCTTTTTTTCTCCCTCAATGTGTTCCTAACCCATTAGAGGTAGGAGGGGAGCAAGTGGGAGATCAGGTCTGTAGCATCTGAACAGTGGGAGTGATAATTCAACGCGCCGCTGCTCCCTGCCCCAGCACCCTCCAGCAAATTCGCTGCCCAGGGACAAATCTGAAAAGGTCAAACATCTCATCCATTCTGCCTCTTCTATTCCCACTGATGCAATATAGCTGATATCCAACAATTTAAATCAAGGTCCCCTTTGAAATATTCAGCCCCTTTTTTTCTCCCTCCAAACTCTTGAAAATCTACACAAAAGCTATTGAAAATAGAAAAAAAAGGCTTGTCATATAGGGCAACACGAACACTCAAGATAGACTTATGAGGGATTTTTTTCATTCCTTTTAAATTGCTTCAGCGTAGTTTAACAGAACTATTGCAAATTGATTGAGAATCCTCAACCCTGTCTATGAGCTTCTCTGTATTCTAGTCAGAAGTGTCCAGATAATGTGTGTGAAATTAATATTAATTTCGGACTTTTAGTGGAGCTGTTCTTTTTTCAGGACACAAGGTTTTTAATGACATAACCTTGAACCCGTGGATGGAAGCCAGAGTACCTGGAGAGAACGAATGCATGCGCTGCTAAAACATGCAAACTCCATGCAGAAAGGACCAGCTGGGATTTGGGCCCAGAACCTTCTGGCTGAAAGGCAGCAGTGAACTGTGCCACAGTGCAACAACCTCCAAACATGCATACGCTAAATGTCTTCTAGAGAAAAGTTTTAAGATCAGATAATAGAGTAAGTAATTTCTTAATGGCCCAAAATAAGTTTGGTCTGAATCTGTAGATCAGAGGAAATATTTACAATATCTTTATTTACAAAATCTCAATGTCCATCAGACATATATCAACGCACCACTGCGTTGATATATGTCAACACAGGGGGGCGTATGCTACATTCCCACAACAGAACCCAAATCCACTTATTTAGCCCGTATGTGACCTATAGCTGACTTTTCCACCACAGTTCCAACCAAACAATTCCAGTCTTTTAACCAAAAAGCCATCTGATATGTGCCACTTCTATATGTGGTACTAATTCGGATATGTAACCAATTGATTTCAAAGCGTTTGCAGTCTGAACCTTCATGTTGCATTTGATCCAGCTTTTATGTTACTAATGTGAGACATATGTTATATTCCTGCACCAGAAAAAAATAATGGCTGAAAATCACAGTCTTATGTTCACAGATGTCTTTGTTACTGAAGCGCATCACATCACAATAAGACCACTCCTGACTCCTGATTACACATCCTCGCAGTCTTCCCTGTTTCAGAAATTGCAGTCAATACGCCAAAAAAGGCCGTTGCTATTAGTAGTGCTTTCTTTTTATCAGCTTCCTTCGTCCTGTTATGATATTGTGACAATACTGTCGGCTCCATTTGCTGAACAAACTTTGAAATCGATCCACGAATGGCTCCATCCATCATTACTTTCATAAACAGACTGCTGCATGACGTCAATATTTTTTTTTTTTTTTTTGCTGTAGGGACACAAAACCACTCGCACAGAGGTCTCATTGTGGTCAAGATTAAATAGCAGTATAAACGACCACCCAAAAACAATCGGATTTCAGTAGAAAATCGAAACTGAGCATCAAGACCTGCTGTTGGAACATAGCCATAGAGACATACAGGAAAAGCAACCGTGCACTCACTCACAACTTAAAAAGAAAAATCTTAGGGAGACCCGTTAATCTAACAATCATGGTTTTAGCCGGTGGGAGGAAGCCAGAGTGCCTCCAGAAAACCCATACATACAGAACATGCACACTCCGAGGTAATAGTGCTACCAAGTGCACCACTGTGCAGCATCTACATTAATCCCAGAAACATTATTTACACAAACTAGGAAAGCATTAATAAGCACATGCTGTGTTTGCAGTTGGCAAAGACACGTTCAGATTGATGAAGTTTCAAAAGGCCTGTCTTCTATGCCTTTCAAGTTGAATTGATTACCATTGAGAAGCAGAGTGCTGGTAACAGAAGGGCCATTTCCTCAAGCACTGAAGGAAGTCAGAAAAAAAGAAAAAGAGAAAAGAAAGAGAAAAAAAAATAAATAAATCGGTCCCTTCACCTCTGAGGAACCCAGTTACCGACTGATGTTCTACCTCCTTTCATGCTTCTTCATCTTCAAAGCTATGGGGCCAAATATGAGCCGAGCAAATGACCCCTTATGTCATTTCATCCTTTCATTCAGCTTTCCCCAAACAGCTTTTCTTTGTCAGGCAGCACAGCCCCAAAAGCTGCTGGAAGCAACAAAGGGACAAACACTGAGCTGAGGGAAAGTTACAGCTTGGTAGTATTTGCATTAGAAAGACACATGAAGGTGTAGCGTTACTCATCATCATATAATTCGGCATAATTCCATGCAAACATTACTGAAGTGTTGATTTCTATATTTTAAAAAATGCCACAGCAATCCTTTGTAAGTGGAAAAAACCACCCCAACAGGCTCCATTACCATAACAGTGGGAAATGCATAGCCGGCACTCAGCTGGGCACATTATCATGAGCACCATTCCTAACACCCAGCAGCCGCCACTGGCACAGCAGCGTGGCTCATTAAAGCTACCGAGTCTTTGAAAGGTGCCAGATTTTCGGAAGAAGAAAGGCTTGTTTGGAAAATCTGCAAACAGTGTTTGGGACATATATTATTATCAAGTTCTTTATTAAGATGAGATAATAGTTTCATACTGTTAAGCTACTCACAGCATATTCAGAATAATTTAACACAAATGCTAAGACGGCACAGCACACTTCCTCATGCGGCATTTAGCAGCGAGGCATCCACTGTCCCATTTGCTCATTCCTAATAAACTGTGAATTACACACAAGCTTAGGTCTTTATTTTTCTAAACAACATTATACGACAATGAGGTGTAAGCTACAGACCACTAAGACCTTCCAATCCCCTGAATTGCAATAAGGCGCACATTTCACAATATGCTACTTTGGATAAGTCTTAAGCCAAGCACCTATTCAAATAAGACCTAAGTTGAAGAAGCAGCAGTGCACAGCTCAAAGAGCCTTTTTTCCAAAACTATAAAAAGGAAGAAAACTGTTCACTCTGAATAGCAGTTTTTAAAGGAGATGTTACTCATCCAGCTTTTTTTTTTTTAAGTCTAGTAGTGTATGAATCTGAGGTTGTTAGAGTATTTCTCTTTGAGACATGAACCCATCCATCCATCCATTTTCTGAACACCCTTGTCCCTCAGTGGGGTCAGGAGGGGTGCTGGTGCCTATCTCCAGCTAACGTTCCGGGCGAGAGGCGGGGTACATCCTGGACAGGTCGCCAGTCTGTCGCAGGAGACATGAACCAAAACGCAAAAATTTATATTGCATAATCTCACAAAAGGTCAAGGTTAATAGGTCAAGGTGTATCTGCTTTTAGACCATGGTAACTACTACTTACGTTATGTGGAGACTTATCTGTTCTCCATGCTGAGTTATTGATGTATGAGGTTACAGAAGGGTCAGTGAGTTGAATTCATGAATTCAATTTATTAATACCAAAATACAGCTGGTCCATTCTGACCTGCTGCCTTTAAGAGGTAACAGACAAAATGGGATCCCAGAAGAGGGTGTGGTCTCCTTTGTTAGCCTCTATCTAAGTTACGCCCCACAGAGGGCGTTACCTAGCTCCGAGTATCCTGTAGTCTTAGCTTTCAGGGCGTTTCCTAACATGTCGTTTCTTTTAGCTTTAGCTTAGCTTTGGCTTAGCAACTAGCTGACAGAGATAGAAGGAAAGCACAACATTATTTATTCTAAACACTTGCTTGGGTAGCCTTTAGTGGTGTTCAGAACATGGGCGTAGGTTTGGGTAGGGACGGTAGGGACATGTCCCGACCAATATTCACGGGATATGAAAAAATCCCGACCAATTTTTGCCATATTGGATCAAAGAACGTGGATCTACGATCTTTGATTAGCAGCAACAGGCGGTGCGCGGAACGGAAGCTTCTTAGTTTGACATTTATTATGAGTCTCCGAGACCATGTCGCCACCAAAAAAGAAAAGGACAGACATTAGAAGTTATTTCGCTACGTCGGCTGTAAGTACAGTGAGTGGACCCATAAGTTAGATATCTATCACGCAACGCATTTGTTGTAAAGTCCGGTGTTTAGTAAGGTCAGCACTGAATGTGAGGTAGAATAGGTCT